CCACCACCACCACCACCACACACCGTGCTCGACTGGGGCAGGGACCACTCCTACCCCCGCATGAAAGGGAAAATCTTTTTTTGTACGCTTTTCAGTTCATTTTTTTAGACCATTTGCTGTAGGTGCCCCACTTATCTTTTATTGAAGATGGGGTCCTGTGCTGAATTTCTAGCAGCCAATCAGACGATAGCTATCAGCATAGAACCATGAAAAGCTGCCCAGAGTCGGTGGCTAGGGGTTACGGTGCGCTGCTACTTTGTTTTAAGTAAACCCATATGTGTCACATGTACTGTGCCCGCTGCATACGTTATCAGTGTTTGTCTTCCTATTTCTAGGGTGTACGAGGATTGGAGGGAAATACAGGCCTCCCCGGCCCCCCTGGACCCCGGGTAAGAAGAGAAACACATATCCGTTCCTTAATGTAAATGTATAAAGGGAACCCCCACTTATAGACATGCTTGTCTAATATAAGACCCCCCAACTTGCTAGTCGAGGTATCTATTGCAACTAACCATATGCAAGCAACACCAGTTCCCCTTATAGACCCGGGGGCTGTTCTGCCAAATAATTGTTGGTTGCCGTGAACTCTACTCTCCCCTTAAGACACCATATCTGTTCAGCTCTGCCTTGTTTTCTTTCTCCGTATGTGCCCCCCTCGGATGGGATGTACTCATATGCCTGAGCCCAGGCTGGCTAGACGATCTCCGAGTCTTTGGGCACCAAAAGACCGCCCCTGCGGATCATCCTTTGGGAAACAGTTGTTAGGTCAGGCCTGCTGCAGTTCTTTTTAGTTGCTCTCTTCCGTTCCCCCAACACACAGCCATGAGGGACACACACATATAAATAGATTTAACCCCCCTAATGAGTGACAATTAGTTTGCCAAAGCGCAGAGTCTTATAAATAATCGCCATTTGTCAAATAAAATCCTAATTTTCCCCTTTTTTTTATACTTTGTTACACCTCAGTGCTGCTGAACTCCTTCAGCCACCTACTGACTACATGCCCTCCGGTAGTAGCTGATGGCATTTCTCACAGTGGGTTTCCCGATGGTGACATCAGTGGACTATACTTGTAATACATGTAATGTGTGTTGACACGGCCACTTGTCGCGTCCATCGGACAACGCAGGAACACCATGCGGGAGACATGGACGGGAGCGTTGTCACCCTATAACAGGAAATGCTCATACAATGACCTTTATGGTAGGATCACTTGCTATGATTTAAAGGAGAACTATGAGGCGAGTGAAAATGACTCAGCCTCATAGTTCTAGCCGACCTGTGACAATGAAACTGTCACACGTCGGCTCAGTAGATCGGGAAGTGAGCGAACACATACCGGCGCTCGCTCACTTCTCCATCATGTGCCAGCAGAGAGCCGTGACTGTCACTCACGGCTCCCTGCAGGGATTGTCCCCGCTCCGATCCTACAGCGCTGACTGGCGGAACAGATGACGGAGGAGGCAGGTACAGTTCTAAGGAGAACTATGAGGAAAAACACTTCCCCCGTAGTTCTCCTTTAAATGAAAGCTGCAGATTTAAAATGACTTTTTTTTTCTTTATGTAAAATGACTTTTTGAAGCTTCAATAAAATGTTTGTGATTTGTCTTTACACTGTAGCGTTATTTATACAGATCCTTGTGAACCAGACCATGCTACCATGGGCACGGCTTGGCGCCCATACATTGTAGCGTTGTTTACACAGATCCTTGTGAACCAGACCATGCTGGGCGCCAAGCCGTGCCCATGGTAGCATGGTCTGGTTCACAAGGATCTGTATAAACAACGCTACAACGTATTCGTGCCGCTTTGTCACCACCTTTTTTTTGCTCAAACCTATTCTTTATTTATTACGCATCCACACAGCGACGAGGCTCGCACAGCGACAGTGTCACGGATCATCGGCGAGAATACGGGAGGACCGTATACAAAGACAAAAATACTTAAGGAACGTTTCCGGATCATCAGCTGCATACAGCAGCATCAAGGGTGGAAGGGGCTACTTAGAGGAGACTCCAGCAGCAGCATCAAGGGTGGAAGGGGCTACTTAGAGGAGACTCCAGCAGCAGCACAAGGGTGGAAGGGGCTGCTTAGAGCAGACTCCAGCAGCAGCACAAGGGTGAAAGGGGCTTCTTTGAGGAGACTCCAGCAGCAGCACAAAGGCGGAAGGGACTTCTTAGAGGAGACTCCAGCAGCAGCACCACCAATGGTGGAAGGGGCTACTTAGAGGAGACTCCAGCAGCAGCACAAGGGTGGAAGGGACTTCTTAGAGGAGACTCCAGCAGCAGCACCACCAATGGAGGAAGGGGCTACTTAGAGGAGACTCCAGCAGCAGCACAAGGGTGGAAGAGGCTGCTTAGAGGAGACTCCAGCAGCAGCACAAGGGTGGAAGGGGCTGCTTAGAGCAGACTCCAGCAGCAGCACCAAGGGTGGAAGGGGCTGCTTAGAGGAGACTCCAGCAGCAGGGACCAAGGGTGGAAGAGGCTGCTTAGAGGAGTCTCAAGCAGCAGCACAAGGGTGGAAGAGGCTGCTTAGAGGAGTCTCCAGTAGCAGCACAAGGGTGGAAGGATCTGCTTAGAGGAGTCTCCAGCAGCAGCACAAGGGTGGAAGGATCTGCTTAGAGGAGTCTCCAGCAGCAGCACCAAGGATGGAATTGGCTGCTTAGAGGATCTTTGTGGATCAGGTAACCTACAGCCATCTTTTCTGGGCTGTGGAATGGTGGAATATGGCAGTTCTGTGTAAAAAGCAAACAAAATCTACCTCCAATAGCACACTGTGTTCTACATATTAATGCTGGCCTCCAAATAACAAGGTACTGGAGGGGTGGAGCCTGACCAGCTCTAGGTCTTTGAAACATTATGAATCACTACTAAATTCTAGGGATGCTTTATAGACAACATTACATAGGTGACATATTGCCTCACCTGGCGGTACCATGAATAATTTAGCTATCGAAATTCCACTTTTTAATACTTTTTTCTTTTTTAGGGGATTCAAGGGGTCCAAGGACTAACTGGAAGTCCTGGAGATAGAGGATCTGTTGGAGAAGTTGGGCCCACGGTAGGTACGGGAGAGCCTGAAATGTCTAGATGGTGGACTTGACCACCTTTGGTCCTGGTCAGGTTCTATATATTGGGAGTAATGGGACATGGTACAAAAATGGCGACTGTGCGCCTTTCATTCTCTTGTAATAATGGGGTGGAGGTTAGAGGGGGGAGGGTCTACCTGAAGAACCAGTCCTATATGGAAAGCACAAGGTGGAGGTACCATCTATAAGGACCTTTAGAGTCATAGCAGAAAATAAATGTTCTCCATTCTCGCTGACGTGAGCCGTTGACGCACTGACGAATATTTTAGAGGATTCTGGTGAATGTGTTAAATGTTTTCCCTTCCATTAGTTGTATCTCATTAGTTCAGGAAGCCGATTCAAGATACTCAGTTATATGAGGTGTGTAATTGTATTTCCATTAAAAGCAACTCGGTGACAGCTATTTTAAGATTGACTAGAAGAAGTGATATCACTCAGCGACAGCGAATGGATAGGCTGCATTCTCCGTGATGTCACCGGTCTCTATTTATACATAGAGTTTCTATTCTGTGTGTTGATCAATTACTTATCATGACTTCTCTGGTTTTCGCAGGGTCTTCCCGGCACTCGAGGTGAGAAAGGCGAGAAGGTGAGTTTCAATTAGCACAGCTCCATACAGAGACTAATTGCTTCTCTCTTGAGCTCAGCCCCGTGTGCTGTGATAGGTCAGGACAGAAAATCACTCCTTTCCTCATCAGTTCTTGTATTGTAAGAATTTCCAGGACAGGGAAACTGTTATTTTTAATTATTTGAAGGGACCAAAAATGACTAAATGTCACATGCTCACCCACATGTACTGTATGTTTCCATTTGGACTGGAACAAAGCTTAGGCTGGTGGGATGTAAGGATTTCGGCAGCTGCTTGTTCTAAAACAATACCCTACTTCAGGCTCTAATGTAAAGGTCACATCTCTTAAAAACAGGGGGAACCTCAATCTGTCTCCACCATCTACCACTTGGTGAATCAGGTGTGTGAGAGGCTCATACAGGGTAAGTGCCTGTCAACTGGATGTCTGCTGCTGAGAATATCTCAATGTTCTTCTGGTTCTTGATGTAGTTCTATATGGAATGAAATTCTCTCTTATGCATTTTGTCATTTCTCAGCTCACCTGATAAAATTGGAGTCAGTCTTGCGGGAGAAAGAGGCACAGCCTGTCCCTATCTGGGATTTGGAATTAAAACCAGGAGAACCTGGACCTCCAGGACCTCAGGGGCTACCAGGAGAGCAGGGAGAACCTGGAGTTAATGGAGCATTTGGACAACCAGGCCAGAATGGATACCCAGGGAAGCAAGGTATCCCACATGTTACTCTACTCTACTTTTGAGACAGGGTGAGGAGGAAAAGAAGAGGACAGTAGGGGGAGTCAGGGTTTCCTCTTTCTCTTTTTTTAGTCCAACTTCTTCACGTACAGTTTCCGATTCTATTTTACTGGGCCTTAAAGTTTACCCCAAAAGTTGGCTGGAACCATGGATGTTTGTGGGCTTTATAGTGGGCTTGATGCATGGAGATCTAAGTGAAGTTTGTTGTTTCTGGATACTATTTGGTGTTGGATGTGTGAATGACTTACTACAAGTGGCTGTACTTGAGCAGATTATTGACAAAACAAGACTAAAGATTTAGGAGTTGAGAGGTCTGATCAGTCGCCCATTGGCATTTTATATCTTTTGGGTTGCTCCTGCTACAAAGCTGAAGCAACATGGAATCTACCTCCACCTGCTAAAACAGGTTTTACCAGGATATCCTTTCCCTGCTGCTTCCTGCATTGCACTGAGTTAATTACAAAAGAAAGGAGATTGGGACCCTTTCTGAAGGTTCTTTTTTTTAGAAGGTATACTGTATGACCAAATGTATGTGGAAACCCCTGGTGATGGTGAGCCAGGCCTTCTCATCCAACATCAGTATCTGACCTCATATATGTTCTTCTGGCTTAATGGGCACAGGTTCCCACAGACACATGCTAAACTCTTGTGGAAAGACTTCCCAGAAAGGTGGTGGAGGGGGAATTCCATATAAATGGCCATTTGTGTAATGGGATGTCCAAACAACTGACATAGGTGCGATGGCCCAGTGTCCACAAACTTTAGACCATATAGTATACATGTACTAGTCACACACAAAGCAGTTACTGTATATGGCACATGGGTCAACTGTGGTGACACCATCAATCATGTCATAAAATATTTATTCCCAGAACACCTTCTTCCTGCAAGGAAATGAGTATTAGATAACCATAGTCTTCACTAGAAAGGCCTGTTGTTTTTGGACAGCACAGCTTGATTAAAGGACCCTGTGTGGTCCATTGATATCAGGATTTTCTGGATTAGCACTATGATCATCAGATAAACATGCTTCCTTCCAAGAACAAAAAGCTCTAGTGAAATATTGTGTTTCCTTGTATGGTGACGATGGTAGGTGTGCAAACCATGGAACTCAAGTGCTGAGATCTCACTATTGGAGAGCCCAAGATTTTTTTCCCCACGGCATCTACTAATTTATGAGACATCAGTGTCTAGGTTTCTAAGATTCCTATTACTTCATGTAATGGTCTCTGTTAATATTTTAGGATCCAAAGGATATCAAGGAGAGAGAGGTGCTCCAGGAAAAGCTAAAGAAGGCCCAACAGGACCTCCCGGAGTGATAGGTAATTGCTTTACTCTAGCACCTGGAAGCTTTCAGCCTGACTTTTGTTTTAGAACACTGATATTTCTTTATTTCCCCTCCAAGGTTTTCCAGGAAAGGAAGTCATTGGAAATCCAGGGTCTGTGGGCTTTCCTGGGCAACCCGGCCACCCTGGAAATCCAGGAATCCCTGGACATTATGGACCTCCGGGGGTAGAAGGTGGCTGTGACTCCTCTTCCTCTTACATCAGGTAAGTGGAGACTCCTAGTGCCTGTAAATGTCTTCTGTTCTTCATCTGTCTCCATTCTAGAACCTCAAGTGTCAGTGTTCCCCTGTTCTGGTGTTTTCCTCAGTTGTCTATGAATATTTGTTTTGGGGCTCCATGTATTAGTTCACCCTTGTTCCGGAGTTTTGAGTACTTCGGCTTTCTCTTCATTCTAGAAGCCCAAGTGTCAGTGTTCCCTTGTTTTGGGGTTTCCAAGGTTTTCAGCCGTCTCTTCAATCTAGAACCCGAAGTGGGAGGTTCTACAACGCAAGTTTCAGTGTTCCCTTGGTTTGGGGTTTCATGCTCCTCAGTTGTCTCTTCATTCCAGAACCCCATTTGACAGTGTACCCTTGTTGTGGGGGTTTTCATTCCTCTCATTCTTCTCTTCTCTCCCTCTCTCTTCCACCCTCTCTCTCTCTCTTCCCGCCCCCTCTCTCTCCCCCTCTCTCTTCTCATGTTATAACTCTGCGTAACATTGGCACCTCTTTTTTTTTGTTTACATCCCCAGGTGCTGAAGAACTGCATCTTATCCCCTGAACGCTTCCAGCTAAACCACACAATGTACGAATCCGGCGGAGCATGTCTCTGGCAATGTCACAAGCCGCTTTTCACTAACAGTGCAGCTGGGTGCATCAAGAACATTGTGCGGCTTTGAAATGTCCTCCTGCAGGTTTGAGCTCTGCTGCAATTTGCATGCAGGCACCTGGCGCCCAGTACAGAGGGCAGCGAGAAGTCCGCTGTATTATATCTTATGGAGCGATATTTAATATTTGTCATGCGTCGCATCTATTACTGTTTTCTGCAGAATTTCACAGGTCTCGCGCCCGCAAAGCGCGCTACGTACAAAGAAGCATCAAAACCAATATTTGTTAGAATTTTTTCTTTGCTCACCTTCTTTGGCGTCAGATTGGTAAGCTCTTCCGTGGAACTTCCTAAACCCAGACTGGCTGCCATGCTGGTCTTTGAATCTACACCGATAAGCTTCTTTATAAAGGAAGGCAAAGAGCAGCACTGTGCATTAACCCCATGGGTCACCTTCTGAGCGGTTGGCACAATGAAGATAATGACTGAACAGTTACAATAGGTTACATGCCGGTACTTGCTGTCTTTTCCTTGTTCTATGACCCCCTGGTCTAAGCTATATTTGGCCCATGTCTACTAATAAGTGTTTATTCCTCTCTCAGTTCTTTATGAATATGCCTGTTATAAATGAGAGGATTGAAATGTATAAGCCATTGTCTTCTGTTATATTGTTATACAGCACTAATAAAGAACTGTATTTTTACAACCTGTTGACCTCTTCTATTTCCAGTGCTTAGTGTTCGACTTCCATGTAGCAGAGGTCTTACCTAATTGGCTGATTTACCGATCTGTTGCTTTCGGCACTCGGTATCGGTAAGGAGTGCAACCCGGATAGTATTCACAGTATAGAAAGAACTGACGCGTTTCCGCGGCTCATACAAATACCCCCTTCATCAGGGCTTACTAAGGGAGATATTTTGATATTGAATACCGTTTTGTCCAGTGTGTGGGAATGCAGAGAGCTCCTCAGCAGCTGACTTGGCAGCAGTGATGCATTGCAAGACTCTGACAGGTAGAGATATGATGTGATTTGTAGTGTCAGCAGAGCTGGAGTCTCAGGGTTGCCTACCCCTGTCTTAAAATGTCAGGAGAAAGGGACCTTTCAGCAGGACAAGAGGCGGAAGCCGGCCAAGCTGTCAGTAGGGGAGAGTAGGCGCTCCAGTGCTGATGCTACCACCTTAGGCTGCCTCATTATCTATCTATCTATCTATCTCTCTCTCTCTCTCTCTCTCTCTCTCTCTCTCTCTCTTTCTGTCTCTCTCTCTCTCTCTCTCTCTCTCTCTCCTCTCTCTTTCTGTCTCTCTCTGTCTGTCTGTCTGTCTGTATGTCATTGCAGCCACTCAAATCAATCAATACTGTAACTAACTAGATGCAAGGCGATCTAAATGGCTGCCATCTTTGCTTTGTTGGGTTTGGTATGGTACAGACACACACTGGGGGTCTCCAGCTGCCATTGAGTAATGTTGGGCTTTTGATGTGTTAGGTCTGGGACACCTCCCAGGCATACTCACTCTCTCAATGTATTCATTGCTACATATGTCCCCCGTTGGGAGCTCAGATCAGTTCTCAGTTAGGGACCACACTTTGAAGAAGTACCTTGATGTGATGTGGCAGTGTGGTTTCATATATATTTGCAAATGCATGTACTAACTGGAGAGTGTGCTGGGATATATATGAAGATGGTGTGGTAGGCACACCCCAAGGCTGCCATCATGGTGGCGTTGTTGGGAATGGGATTCACTAAACTATTTCACAGCAATTGACCTCCCGGCGTTCAGTCCGCTGCTTACATATTTGTTTGTGTGCAGCTTTTCAGACTCCAGTATTGGCCGCATTGTGATGTTAATTCTTGTACTGCAGACTGGTGATAAGCTGTCCTGGCCCCAAGTCTACATCTCTCATGTTCATCAACCGAGGGCCCCCTCCCATGCAGCAAATATTTTCATTCTGCATTTTGCGTTCTGAGCCGTCGCTTATACACTTGAGATTCCGTCCTTCAAAAAGCCACGGAACGCGGCGCTTTCAGCCCGGCACCAGTGATCATGCCTATCTCGGAGTCTCGTGGGGTCATGCTTTAACTCCACTGTTGGTAATCTGTTCAAATGCAGAGCAAGTACATAAACGGAGCTGCTGTTGCATGTCTCTGTTTTATGTAGCTCCATGTTATGTAAGTAGCAAATCTTGGCTAGCTTTTGCTGCAGAGAAAAGGTTTGTTGTTTTGTTGGCCAATGAGCACATATATAATTAAAGAGGAACTTCAGGCAAAAAGCTAATAACTCAATTCGAGTACAAACTGTATATGAAAGATGTTTAGGGTTTTGTTATGTTCTCCAGCCATATGATATAACCCCCCTTCACCTGGCCACTTAATGGTTCAGCTGTCAGGGTTGACTCTTTGCTCTTTGGACAGAACTGGTGATGCTGATTTGTTTTTTAATGAGCAGGATGGTGGTGGACAGGTGAGACGGGAAGCAGCAAAACTGAATCGGGATATTAGCATGTCACATAGATGGTTATGCAATGGGGCAGACTGGCTAAAAGAAATACAGATCCTGAAGGATGTGCAAAGTCTTTGTCTTTCTTTAGAAAGCAACTACAGTCTGAGTAGGAAAGCCAGCACAGAAGGATCCTTGCTTTCTGTGTGGAAGCAGTGGTCTCTCTACAGAGGTCAATCACTCCCCCTGCTGAGTCAGTTAAAGCTCTTCACTCAGTAGGGAGCTATACTATAACCATCTCTTCTCCCATATATGTGGTGCTTGCTATAATCTGAACATCCTTTCCCATATATATTGGACCTGCTATAGTCTGACCATCACTTCTCCTATATATGATAGACCTGCTATAGTCTGACCACCACTTCTCCTATTTATGATGGAGATACTATACTCTAAACATCTCTTCTCCCATATATGATGGACCTGCTATAGTCTGACCACCACTTCTCCTATTTATGATGGAGATACTATACTCTAAACATCTCTTCTCCCATATATGATGGACCTGCTATAGTCTGACCACCACTTCTCCTATTTATGATGGAGATACTATACTCTAAACATCTCTTCTCCCATATATGATGGACCTGCTATAGTCTGACCACCACTTCTCCTATTTATGATGGAGATACTATACTCTAAACATCTCTTCTCCCATATATGATGGACCTGCTATAGTCTGACCACCACTTCTCCTATTTATGATGGAGATACTATACTCTAAACATCTCTTCTCCCATATATGATGGACCTGCTATAGTCTGACCACCACTTCTCCTATTTATGATGGAGATACTATACTCTAAACATCTCTTCTCCCATATATGATGGACCTGCTATAGTCTGACCACCACTTCTCCTATTTATGATGGAGATACTATACTCTAAACATCTCTTCTCCCATATATGATGGACCTGCTATAGTCTGACCACCACTTCTCCTATTTATGATGGAGATACTATACTCTAAACATCTCTTCTCCCATATATGATGGACCTGCTATAGTCTGACCACCACTTCTCCTATTTATGATGGAGATACTATACTCTAAACATCTCTTCTCCCATATATGATGGACCTGCTATAGTCTGACCACCACTTCTCCTATTTATGATGGAGATACTATACTCTAAACATCTCTTCTCCCATATATGATGGACCTGCTATAGTCTGACCACCACTTCTCCTATTTATGATGGAGATACTATACTCTAAACATCTCTTCTCCCATATATGATGGACCTGCTATAGTCTGACCACCACTTCTCCTATTTATGATGGAGATACTATACTCTAAACATCTCTTCTCCCATATATGATGGACCTGCTATAGTCTGACCACCACTTCTCCTATTTATGATGGAGATACTATACTCTAAACATCTCTTCTCCCATATATGATGGACCTGCTATAGTCTGACCACCACTTCTCCTATTTATGATGGAGATACTATACTCTAAACATCTCTTCTCCCATATATGATGGACCTGCTATAGTCTGACCACCACTTCTCCTATTTATGATGGAGATACTATACTCTAAACATCTCTTCTCCCATATATGATGGACCTGCTATAGTCTGACCACCACTTCTCCTATTTATGATGGAGATACTATACTCTAAACATCTCTTCTCCCATATATGATGGACCTGCTATAGTCTGACCACCACTTCTCCTATTTATGATGGAGATACTATACTCTAAACATCTCTTCTCCCATATATGATGGACCTGCTATAGTCTGACCATCTCTTCTCCCATATATGTTGTCAAAAACGATTCCTTCTAATTTCAGGATAATAAATAAAGCTTTCTGAACGCTATATTGGTTATACAATATAAAACAATGTGAATATATCATAGCTGAACCATTTAGTCATATTTAATAAATGTTTTATTTCCTTCCAAACCAATATATTTTTATTGTGATTGTTCTTCTATATACAAATTTGACATGTTGATGATCAATTGAATTGACATTAGTATGTTCAGATGTATGAGGCAGCTGACGACCTCCGTTCACCTCTGGCGTCTCATCTTCTTGCTTTGTGGTTGGAGAGTATGGCAGCGTATTGCTTCAGCAGTTGTTTAAAACATTTAAACAACTCAGAGGAAATAAAATGAGGCTTTGATTTCAAGAGTGGCCAACCCCTGTACATTCTCTTTGCTTGCGAATTATCCCGGGTGTGTAAGAGAAGGCGAGGAGGCAGAGGTCTAAGAATGAGAACTCAAGAGCGGGAGCTGTAGGCTTCCATTCTTGGTTTGATTCTTGGACAAGATTTGGCAGTTTATGTGCTTCTGCATATTTTTTGATGGCCATCATTAGTTTTTGATTCTTGAATGTTTTTTTTAGATTTGTTATAGTACAATGTTCACTCGTGATTGAATAAAGAGATGGCTATGTGTTGTATTCTCTGCTCCCTTGGTTTACTCTCCATCTTTTGGTTGGGGAATGCCTTGTATTTTTTAAATAGCACGTGGCCTTTTCTAGTTCTAAGGACAAGATACCTCAGCAGTTGTTCAATCTAAATGGTATGCTAGAGATACAAATTCAAAGATGTTGGTTGGCTGTGT